AAGCGGCATTAGTTAGATGAGTTGTTTTTGCAGTAAGGACAGCTCTTAGACTAAAAACCTAAGGAAAACCTTTTGCCCATTTTTTTTTTTTTTTTTTCTTTTTTTGTTAACTGTTTTATGCTGTGTGACACGTGCTGTGATTTGGCATCTGAATACATGCTCTTATACAAGGTTCACACGTTCATCCTTGCTGCATTTTATACCTTGCCTCTTCCAAATTAGTGTGGACAGAGCCTTTTCTAGTGGAAATAGCTGTGTTCAGCATTGAGGTGATGCTGTTAGTGTGTCTTTCCTTAGGGAATTCATATTTAGCTTGGATACACTCCTAGAATACTCGCCAGGAGTTTGGAGTTATTTCTAGCTTCATCAAATGAGTGTTGTACTTGAAGTTGCTTTTTGCACACTGCAATTGCATTGTCTGCACAGCTTGGATGACTGGGATAGGAGTCTGAAATAAAGCTGCTTGAACTTGAGATACAGTGTTACCCTGGACCATAAAATCACAACTGGAATGGCAGAGAACAGGAAGCCTGCATTATGAGACAAGGGGGCACTCGTACCAAGTCCACATCTCTTTCGTGCAGCTAACAAATGAACCGATGAGTAAAAGCCCCCAGAGTCAGTGTTGCAGGTACATTAGGAATCCAGGTTTTGCATTCTAACACAGGACTGAGAGATTGCCAGGTTAAAATGTGCTAGATGATTGAGCATTTGTTTTCTCTGATCACTCAATCGTTGTATATGTTTTACTTCAAAATTATTTCTTAATTATGTCTATTTGTCTTTTTTCAAGTTTGAACTTGTTTTAAGCAGTTTTTCTAATAAAATACACTTTCATAACTGAATATGGAATACTCTTGAATAGGGTGTTTTCCTACCATAATGTCTTGTATTGTTGCTGTTTTCATCTAGTGAGTTGTCCTGTTCTTTAACTGAAGTCCTGTTCCTGGTAGGACGCTGGGACAGAGTGATTATACATTTTGCCTGCTTCAAGCTGCAAATACCACACTTCTGTAGTAAAATTCTCATTAATTTCTCTTCAGTATAAAGTCACTGCAAGTGTGGCTGCCTTATCAGCTCCATGCAACCCTCTCTGAAATGAAATTATAGGTAATATTTCTTAAGTTTTGTTATTTGTTGAGGAACCTTCTTGAGACACATGAGAAACACCGTCTTCACTACATTTTATTCATTTGGGAATTCTATGCACTCACTTCTTCCCATAAACTTTCTGGTTCAGATTATCTTGAGGGCATCTGCTGTTGGTCTGAAGCTGCCTTCTCCAGTTCCTGTGGTTGATTTTGATGTTTGAGCTTGGAGGCTGTAATCAGCTGCTCCCAGCTACTCAGCAATCTTTCCCTGACTCAGACCAAAATCTGGATCCACTTAAAAAAACTGTCATATTTAAAAAAGAATAACACTGTGTTTACAAATAAAGTTTTTATTTATTTTATATTCGGAGAGCATCAAGTATACTGCTGTTTGGGGGATATGGTGCTGTTAACACATAAAAGGTAATGGGGTAAGAGAAGGAGAGATTCATGGACATAGCTGCTGTTTCAGCAACACCATAGAAGAAGATGGCATCATCTTTAGGCAGGTATCCTAAATTGTTCTTTGCAGAACGAGCAGATAAAACTGAAGTTATGGTGGGTGCTTTGTTCTTCACTAACCAACAGTGCTTTATGTGTACTATGAGGATCATATAAATTGGTCCTGAGGGTACATGGATATCAAACATTGCCTTTCTTCTTGCATCTTAAGATAAAAAGCCTATAGTAAATATGCTCATATGCAATGTATTAAGCTTCCTGGGGTAGCTGAGGATAAAAAAGAAAATCTGTGTGATGGGCTCTTGTTTCTTCCTTGAGATTTCGTTAGGAAGTAGACTTAAATGCAAAGTCATGTCAATAACCAGCTACTCAGGGAGAGCGTGCAGGCCACAACTGTGTTTGTACCTTCCTAGGGTGCACAAATAAAACTACTCTTGAGGGAGAAGACACAAACTTCTTTCAATTCTACTGCCTGATCCTTTCGTGTTAGCAGTAGATCTGTGTCCTACCAAGCAGCAATTGATGGTTCTTTAACTTAGGAACATGATGGTCCTTCATGATCATATGTTGAAAGCAGCTTCACTGCTTAAGTAGCCCTAAGACCAAGCAAAATCTAGGAGCAGATGGGCTGGCTCTCCTTTTTATTTAAGTCTAAATAGTAAGCTAATCTGTTTTTGTAGCACTTCATTGAAGATGAAAAGTTGCCCCTTCCAGCCTTCCCCATGGCAGCTTAATGGTATACTTCAGGTGAACGCTGACCTCAGCTTGCCACTGCAAACAAACCTTACCTACCCTTTCTTTCCACTTTAAGTTCTATGTGATTAAGCTCTGGACATCTCCTCAATTTGAAGTAAGGTTGAGTTCTTGGTGGTTTTTTTTCACACTTCCACAAAACAGGAACTGAAGGTGTATGTACTTCTGCACAATTCTCTATTTCTTTCAGTGATAAACTTACTGCTTTCTCCTTGACATCATTTAGAGCACACACCACTACATCATTGTTCTCCCTCCCACAGAATGTTATCACATTATAGTCAAACCAGATACTTTGATAATTCAGAACAGAGCAATTCATACCCATGACATGTGAATCTCCATTTTAAATTCATCTAATCTCACTCAGGAACGATGCTTTGTTCTACAGATAATGGCAGATTCTGGCCTGCCTTGGACACAATCAGTATTTAGAGTGCTTCCCTTCTAAAGTTGCTATGAACTTACTTGCTCCAAGAATAAGCGTCTTGATCAATGCCCTCTTATGACTTCTGAGCACAAATAAGTCTTTATTTCCATATGACCTCAATGCAAATACATTATTAACAAATAAACAGCTTTTTCCCCTTGCTTTATTGTTTTGTGTTCTGCTTTTTGGGTCTGCTGTTAATTAGCTCATGATCAGAAACCATCTTCACGGCTAAAGTAGCTAACAGTGATAATACTGCCACCACTGTTACCACTATCCTCAGTCCTTTAAACCAAAGAGGATAGGTAGGAAGAAGGGAAAGGTCATAGTGTAATGCTATCCCTAAGCTCAGTACAATCATTACTGCGCTGCTAGCGATATCTTTAAAAAGCAAGGCTTGCCAGGCGAGCAGAGGAAGAATGGTGCTGTTGGCCAGGTTCAGCCAGTCTGGCTTGGCTGGGCTGTTTTCTGGGACAGCAAATCCCCACCTCATTCCCCCTATGAAGGAGACGATGACAGCACCATACGTAACCTGAACAAATGCCAGCTCTGGGTGGTAGGTCCTTTGGAAAACCATTAATAGCGGCATAGAAACAAGTGGAATTAGCCCTGCAAGGCTTAAGTAAAGGGCTGGCTTTGGAGAATCCTTCAGTGATTTCATACTCTGTCGCAACAGGCCTGGCTCTCGAGGAGGTTCTTGGGGAGGCTTTTTCTTTAAGAGGGGGAAAGACGTGTGAAAAGCCTGGAGTTTGACTGCACACACCGATAGTCTGCTGAGGCTCAGAGGTCTTGAGAGAAGACAAACATTTCTCTGCAGGGAGAGACAGAGAGAGGAGCACCTTGTCTTATTCTTTCCATGCAGGAGTAGTCTGGGACCAGTTAGCTTCTGCAGCTGCAATTAAAAAGTTTGTTCTTTGAGCACCTTACAACACAGGCATTATTGTCCTACAGTTACCTGGAGTATCTATAAAATATTGAAGAGTTTTCTTGGCTGGATAACCCCACAGCTGCCCTTCCTCAAGGCTTTCTCATGTTTTGATCTAAGCAATTAAGCTGGCACAGCTGCTCAGCTCTTCCCAGTGAGCAAGCAGACGTTGCTCACTGTGAAAACACTTTCTGCAGCCACCTCTTCTCCCACCCACCCAAAGGCTAAAGGAGCATGCATCAGGCCTGACCAGAAAGGAACACAGCACGATCATTGGACAGTGCCATCCCCGAAAGCAGCTACTATCCCATCATTGTTCAACAGCATCCGTGACGGTAATTATGGGAAAGAAAAAGAATGTAAACATCAGAACGTGATTTAAAAGAAAAGGAATCAGAGCTCTGGCCAAAGGCGGCTGTAAAAATAAGGGACGTGTTCAGAATAGCTGCAATGAATGCAAGCCTACTTTCGCTTGTGAGGCACTGCTTCCCAACGCTCCAATGGCACGTTTAAAGAAAAATGGAGCTTAAAGCCTGCAGAAACTTACTTGGAGAGGCGTGCGGGAGCAGCACCGCTGTATGAGATGGAACATGCTTGCTTTGTCCGGGTCCTGAAACAGCAGCCAAGCGGGTGGCTGGCCGAACCGCGAGTAGCTCAGCTCGTGCCGCAGGCCGCGCTCAGCATTCAGACGTGCGCTTCTCACTGTGCTGTACTGAGAGGTAAAGCCTCGACGCGCTCTGTAATTATTTATCCACCGCGGGATGTTTTGCTGCGGGTCGTTCCGGGAACTGACGTTGCAGGCCAGGCGAGGAGGAAGGCCAGCCGTGCGGGACGCGGCGCTTCCTGCGTACCGGGCAGCGCTCCGGCTGGGCTCCGCCTCGGCGGTCCGGGCGGGAACGTGCACGGCGCCGCTGGTTCCGCCGCACAGGGAAGAACGCAGCCGTGCGCAGCACTCAATACGCGGCCCGGCACGTGTCAGAAGGGCACCGCGCCGTCGTGTCGCCTGACAGCCCGGCCGTGCCCGGCCCAAGCGCCGCGGGCTGCTGAGCTGGCCGGGCTCGGCCCGGTATTTTCTCAAGCTTGCGCACGCGGACGGCCACGAGACGCCATAGCGGAATAAGACTCCCAGGCTGCCCCGCGGCGCGGGGCTTTCTGGGACTCGTAGTAGTTCTCCACGGCGCCCCAGAGACCGCGAGGACGGCGCCGATTGGCGGGGCGGGGGGCGCGCGCGCACCCTTATTCCTGCTCTGGGCGGCGGGCGCAGGGGGTGCGGGTGCGCTCCGCGTGGCCGCCGGCGGAGCCAAGTGGGCGTGGCCCTTCCGCCTCCCGGCCCCGCCCCCCTCGCTCGCAGGCCCCGCCCCCTCCGGCCCCCGGCCGGGCAGGGCCGGGCAGCCATTTTGGGCAGAGCTTTGTTATGGTTCTGGGGCCGCAGAAGGCAGCGGGAGAGGCCTGGCCGGTGAGTGCGGCGCCCACCTCCGTTCCCCGCGCTTCGCGGCGTCTCCGTCCTCCGCTCCGCCGGGCCCGGCGCCCGCTCCCCGCCTTCCACTCCCCGATCACCGGCCCCGCGGCCTCGGAGCGGCCCGGCATGGGCCTCCCGCCAGGCCGGGACCCCTCTGGCGGCGGCGGCGGGGGGAGCGGGGCGGCCGCCGGGGGGAGCTCGGCGCTCCAGACCCGCCGCCCGCGCGGCCCCGGCCCTTCCGCCGCGGCGGGGGGAGCCGCGTTCCCGGGGGGCTCCGGGCCGAGGGGTTGGGGGGGGGGCGGCAGGGGCCGAGCTCCGCGCTTATTGTTTCCTGCCTCGGCGGAAAGTTTGCCGAGCCCTACGCCGCTCCGCTGGCGGCGCGCCGTGTCAGTGAGGGGCGCGGGGGCAGAGGCCGGGGTAAAGTCCCCGGGGCCGCGCCGGGCTTCTGCGTGGCGGCGCCGCGAGCGCGAGTTGGAAACGAAAGTGGGAGAGTCGGGCCGAGGGCCGATTCGCCGCCGTTCCGCGGTGGTTGGTCGGCTGGGGGGGGGAGGAGATCGGCGGCGACACGCGTGCCCGGCCTGGCGGAAGGAGGCCGGAGCCCCCAGGTGCCGCCCGGCCGCGTGCGGCTCCGGGTGCTGCGCCGTGTGGGGCGGTGGCGGCCGCGGGCGGTGACGGCCGAGCTGCCGGGAGCGCGCCGGGCTCCGGGCCGCCGCTGAAGACTTTGAGTTTTGGTTCCCGCGGCAACTTCGGAGCGGCTGTTCGTGCGGCCGAGAGCTTTTCAGCGGCTCGAGGCGAGCGGCCGCTGCCGAAATCCTTCCGGCCGTGGCGGAATTTCTTAAAAACATCGGCTGCAAATCGCCTCGGATAAGCTGACCAGGTCAGCTGGCGCCGCCCTCGAGCTTCTAGTGACACAGGCGTTAGTAATGCCGATAATATTCCGGAAGGTTGGAAGCGGCCGAGGCAGGGACGTAAACACGGGCTGGGAGCGCACCTGGGCGGCTCGGAGCGGGTGGGGCTGCGGCGGGGCCCGGCGCCGCCTGCCTGCATCCCGGCTGCGGCCCGCAGCGCTGCTGGGAGCGCCGGGCGCGGGGGTGGGAGCGCTGTGCTCGGCTCTGGTGTCTGCCGAGCCGGGCTGGAAACGTCAGGTGTGGGGCGGGGGGAGAGAAAACATCGCCGTTCAACAAAAATAACCCTGTTTTTTAACGTTACTTCAGATCGCTTATAGAGAAAACTGCCTTATGAGAACTTCTAGAAGTTTTTTTGGGTTTTTTTTTTTTTTTCTAGAGAAAGCATTCGTTGGCATTTTCCTCATTTACTTAAAGCTGCTTCTAAGGAAGCACGACCTTTGCATATTTTATACATCTGGTTTGTAGTCTTAATCCTGCGTGGCACTGGAATTTCCATTGCAGATATTCTGCTTGGACTTGGAGTGAAAATATGCAGGGAACAGATGGCATTTGGAAAAAAAAGAAGTCCTGTTTGTTGGTTGTTGGTTTTTTTTTTTCTATGAATGTTTCTGAAATAAGGAAGGAGCAGCGTGCAGATGTGATACGTATCACAAACTCAATGGATGTGCACACTGTGCCAACTGCTGGGAGAAGTGCCTTCCTTGGAGATGTGTTTCAGGTTGCTGTCACCTCATCTTGCTGATGGCACTGCTTGGTGCTTGGCTTGAGTGCCTCTTGAAATCGGTGTTTTAAATGAGGGGATGAAGTCACGAAAGGGAACTGATCTTCACAAACAGCTTTGGGAAATGTTAAAAATACTTTGAGAGCTGTGGATTATCTTTTTTTTTTTAAGAAAGCAGTGGTGTGGATGGATCTGTGAATTTCTTTGGGAATGTGGGATGTCGGATAGCAACGACAAGAGTGCCACAAGAGAACAAACACTTCACTGGATCAAGAGCTCAAGTTGCATTTTTTTAACGTGGTTTCAGCATTAGGGGATTTTTGAAGCTGCTGAATGGTTTGGTTGCAGGGTGCACTTCAGGGCGTGCTGTATTCATTCATATGAGCAGATTGGTTATGTGAAGCAGGGCTAAAACACGAAGCACTCTTCTCAGCAAAGCGCTGGTGGTTCCTGCACCGGTACGGCTTTGTCTGTGAAGGCACAGACGTGGGCTGGTTGTTGCTGTAGGTTACAGTGAGCAAGGTCATTGCTAGCGAGCTCTCCAGCTGGTGAGGCACTCTGCGTGCAGAGGAGTTTCTTTGGGGTTTGTAAGTCCTGTGCTAACTTATTTGGCATCGAGTGCTTTCTGTCTGTTTTAGATGTTGTCCTTCTAACATGGCGGGATAAGGAGCTGCTGCAGCGTCACTTGTGCAGCGCCTGGCATTCTGAGTAATGGTGCACATCTGTCTTTTGCAGAGTCGCACCAGTTTGGGTTCTCCTTACTTGTCAGGTTTGACGAAAGGCAGCGAAGTTGGCAGAAATGTGGTTCTGCTCAGCACGCCGCCCAAGCGCCAGCGTGTTGTTTCACTGGTGTTCTGGAAGGTAACGTGTTCCTGTGACAGTGTGCCAAACTTGAACGAGTTATTGTATGGTCAGAGGGTAAATTTACATTTTTGGGAGTGGATTTAGATGGGCCAATAGCAGCCAAATGCTCACTGTCCTGTATGTGCAAACACTGTGCAGGCTGAGAAGTTTAGGTCACGTCAAGGCTGCTAATGTGGTGGTAAGGGAGGGGGAAAGCCTATCAGCTACATTAATCATATATATTAGCAATTGGACTACATGACTACAAATTGGGATTTCTTAATTAAAGCGTGCTTAACATTGTTCAGTTCCTGCCTTCTCTAGCTGGGCTCCAAAAGTGTTTGGCAAAGAGAAGAACTTCAAGCCTTATACTTCTCAGGCTTTTCTGTAATTAAGCAGCAAAAAGACTTTGTAGGATGTCGGTGTGTGCAGTTCCCTAAAATGACTAATGTGAAATGGTTGCACTCCCAAGGTCTGGCTAAGGACAAACTCTTTGAAGCGGTGCATCCAGATGTAACTGAGGCTGTGTACAACAAGTGATGATCAGGCCCAAATAGTTTGCGGGATACGACCCAGAGCCTCTGGGACTGCTGGGCTCACCAGGAGCTGCTGAAGTCCTAGCAATAGGGCCATTCTAGCAGCACTACCAGCAGCTTTCTATGTATTTTTAATTCCATCCTTGAATCTTGTGCTCCATTTCCGTTTGGGGCTTTCATTGCCTTATCCTCCACCTTGAAAGGAACATCCCAGCTGTGTTGTGCGGTGTTGGTGCCTCCTGATAAGCAGAGGTGTGTGCGCACAGGGTCTAGCTTCATGTCCTTGTTTTTTTTGGAATATACTTTTTCTAATACAAGAAGTGGCCAAATATTTTAATGGATTTCCCATAGAGCACTTTTATTTTCAGCATGTGCAGCAGGTTTAGGTAGAGTCAGAGGACAGTAATGGTGTGGCCGGGGTGGGTGATGCTGGGGACAGAGGCTCGGTGTGGCAGGGGCTGCTTTCCTGGGTATCTCTGTGACCCACATAGCACACAGCATGTGACAGTGACCGTAGTGCTCTGGTGCTTTGTCATCCTTAGTTCCTAATGAGCAGCTCTCTTGTAAACAAAGGGCTGAGTCTGCTGTGGGGCATCGCTGTTCTTTTGGACGCAGATTATCGATACCCACAAAGTTGTGGGTGAATTTATAGTCAAGTTATCAGCAGACTTCTGGCAGTAAACACTCCAGAAAGAGCGTTCTGCCATTGTGTTCCAGTGCACCATCCATCACCCAGAGATTAATCAGTATTCACATGAGGTGGTCTGAAAAGTTTTTCAGTGCTAATCTTTAAAAGCTTGGTGGGGGAATTCTTGTACCCTGCAAATGTTGAATATATTATGCTTTTGACTTTTGGTTCTGGAAAACTGTCTTTTCTATATATTGAACTCCATTTAAGTAGAAGAATTGGGTTAAGGATGCCTTAAATGACTTCAGATTGGCTGGGCCTTATGGAATGTATCCCACGGACTTCGGGAGCTGAGAGTCTGTGGGGATGGGAGAAGTTCCAGCTGAGGAGTGGTGGGGAGCAAATCCACTCCCAGCATTTGGAAAAAGACAGGACAGGAGCTGCCTGTTCAACTCATCTTGTCACAGAGAGACAAGTGATGAGTGCTCGTATCAGGAACCTCTGCTGGGTCATGTTCTGCTTGGTGTTTTGTTTTTCTGTTTTGAAATGATTTTGTTGCTAAATGCAGATGGTATGATCTTGGGAAATTCAAGAAATAGTGTGAAGTCAATCCTGTTTAGCGCAGGTGAGGTTCAAATTGTAAAGTTTAGGAATATTACCTCATGCAGACACGTAGCAGCTGGCGAGGCAGCAGTTCTGTGAGCGAGTATTTGGGGTTTGTAGTGGTTCCTAAATTACCATGAATCAGCAGCATTGCTGTCATGAAAATTCACTTGTCGTACTGGAATACATCGAAGCATCATAAATGAGGTCATGAGGCAGTTTTTCCATTCCTCTGAGGAGCTGTAGGTCTCCAGCAAAAGTGTTTTGTTCGGTTTGTCAAACTTTAAGAAAGGTTATAGCTGGGTGAGAAGAACTGTAACGAAGGCCTGAAAAGAGAACCTCTGAGTGAGGATTGAAAAACTGTTGAGCCTGGCATGGTTTTGTACCACTGGTGGCTCATCAGACATCAGCAGGTTAAAGTTACGTGCAGGTGGAAGTGGGAGCCAGCTGTCTGCAAGCTGTCCGGTGTGCTAGGTGGGTCACATTTGTTGTTATCACCATCAGTACTTTGAACCTAAATAGCTTCAGCAGTAAAATTGGAGTGGTCGTGACATGTATTCATTTATTAAGAAAGAAATGTGACTATATCCAATCCTATAATGCACTGTTACATCCTTTTTCTGCTGGGATAAATACCGACATGGAGAGATGTCTTCAGAGGTGGCTGTAAAGAGAGGTGAGCTTGCCATGTCCCTGGTGAGCAGAGCAGGTAGTCAGGGGCTGAGGAGGCAGCTGGAGGTGTTCAGTTGGGCACTGGC